AGCAGTGGGGTCTCCACTCTACCTTCCCTTCTCCAGGCTGAGCACGCCCCAACTTCCTCAGCCTGTCTTCACAGGGGAAGTGCTCCAGCCCTCGTATCAACTTCATGGCTTCCTCTGGACTTGCCCTAGCAGTCCGATCTCCTTCTTATTACTGGGGCCACCAGACCTGTACTAAACAGAAATAAACACTAAACAAATACTAAATTAGTGAAGGCATAATTTTTTTTTAGTGTTTTCCCCTTCCTTGCACATTTGTTCACACAAAAAGCTCTTTCCTACTAATTACTGTATTTTTAAAATGGTTTCTCTTCTTCCTTTTTTTTTTTTTCTGGCAGCGTTGAAGGTCTTCATGCTATTGTAGTCTCAGATAGAGATGGTGTGCCTGTTATCAAAGGTAACTTCAGCTTCTTGCTGTGCTCTGCAGCTGGAATCCTGATTGAACAGCTGGGGATGGAGAAGTACAGAAAAATCATCCTGGTTATGCGAAATATCTGAGTATCTCAAGTGAGATATATAAATTGGACTTGAAATAAAAGTTCAGGTGTTGATTATGCACCTCTTTAAATATATCCTTTTGTTTTTGCCCTCTAATTGTAATCCATGGAAGTTTTCCTTGGAGATAGGGGTTGGAGTGCTGTAAGGTCCTTGTATCTTCATGTCCCTCACAGGCTGACACTAAGTAGTAGAGAGAGCTTGCAGTGTTTTGTTGGCTTTTTTGGTAGTGCAGTTTTTTCCTTCTGCAGTCCTTGTTTCAGGTGTTTTTGGCTTGTGAATACAATAGTTTAAGGCTACAAAGATTCAAGTATTGCAGATTTATTTTGAATGCCCCAGAGTATTCAAACACCCAGCAGAACATGCACATCTTCATCTGTTTGCAGTCAAGTGATTACTGTGTGCCAGTAATCAGTTCAGAGGCTGGAATGGGTGCAAACAATGTGGGACACAGAACCAAAGGGGCATCAGCACATTAGGCTGTGCATCCTAAAGGAAAAGACTCTTTCTTAGGTATGCTAGAAAGGATGCTGGTATGAGGAGCTTTGATCATACAGAGAGCATTAAAGGATGTACAGCTCGTTCCTGTGGGAGCACCTTAGATGTCTTGCATGCTTCTCTGCTTTTGGCAGAGCACTAAGCTGGATGAGGGTTTGGGATGCAGTCAGAGACACCATGTAAAGATAAGGATTTTTCTTGTTTTGTTCTAGTTGCCAATGATAATGCTCCAGAACATGCACTGCGGCCTGGCTTTTTGTCCACCTTTGCCCTGGCCACAGATCAGGGCAGCAAACTGGGACTCTCTAAAAACAAAAGTATCATCTGTTATTACAATACATACCAGGTGAGTAACCTTAGTGTGCCCTGTCCTCAGTGACTTGAGCTGTTCCTGCATTACACTGACTAAGAGAAAGAAGGTTGTTAAAGCTCTGGTAGATTTTCCCTAGGCTGCTATTGAAGTAATTTTGGTTTATTTCCTACACAGCTTAAATGTTAAGCCAAACTTTCACAGTATTTATTTAACTTCTGTTATATCTCTCAGAACTTGAGATGTACTGGTTGACAATGGCAAAGTGTAATAATTCTGAATTTACAGGAGGTGTTGCTCATATGGTCTTCCATATCTTTTATGGAGCATTTATGTTCTCTTGTATAAAAAATGTTTATAATTAGTGACATCTAACATTAGTTAAAGCAGCACATGCAGCCTACTTCATAGCTAGTCTTGATGCCAGTATGGCTTTGAGGTAAGAAAGCTTTGAAATACCATTCACATTTTTCATAAATAAATTGATTTTTTGTGTCCAGAAGTCCATCATCTATTGTATTTCTGCTCCTTCACAAGTTCTGGTGGTCCTGAGAGATTTTAATTATGACTGCAGTAAACTGACCAGCTGTTTAGCCTACAGTGTGTCAAGTTTTGTTTGGGAATTAAGTGGTTTGCTCACATCAGTAGATTGGTTTGACTCTCTTGATGCTATTAGCTTACAGTTATGCCCAAGGTGCCAGTTCCCTGTTAATGGAAGAACAGATACTTCTGTACAGGGAACAGTATTTTAATGCAATAAACCTGCCTGCCTTCCTGTTTCCTGTGGAGGGTGTGGTCTCCATAGTGTAGTCTGCAGCTGAGGTGGGGTTCTGGTGGACAGCACACTGTAGAACATGGAGACAGAGGAAAATGCCAGGTTTTCCATGTGCAGCTCTCTCTACTATAGTGTAAATTCTGTTGCTGTTTTTAACCATGAATCTTAAGAAATAGATACACTGAGAAGTCACCTCTGTGGGTCTTGCTCCTGCTTGTCCTTTAAACTGAGGAGGCTGCTTGTTGCAGAAGGATATCAGGGCTCCCATAAATTCCAAGATGTGTTAGCTGCTGGCTGAGCACTTCTCTCTCCTTGCAGGTGGTGCAGTTCAATCGCTTACCTTTGGTAGTGAGTTTCATTGCTAGCAGCAATGCCAATACAGGTATGTCTACACATTTGTTTTAAAGATTGCAATATTTTAAGGCCTGGGTATTTTAATAATTGAAAATAAATTCCTTGAATTCATTTCAAGCTATGTTAACTTTGTTCCTGCTGTGAATTTTGTCAGCTTATTGTGAAAGGTGAAAAGGAAAAGGTGTGAGTAAAAATTCACAGATAGGTGGCTTGGTGGAGTTGTTATTCTTCTAGAAGCATATTTCTCCTGTGATTAGCGTTGCCCTTGCTGCACAGGCAGGTACTGTGCTGTACAAGCCAGCTATTTGGTCTCTTTCTGTCAGTCAAGTTAGCATTCTGAAGGAACATGTGCAGATTTGTCTTCAGTTCTGTGGGGTGGGGAAATCTTTCAGCCAGACCCTAGCCTTGGCTAATGAATATGAGCAGAAGGCATTTAATTCTGGTACAGCTTCTTGGCCACAGTAGCTATGGGAAGCAGTAAGGCAGTAGTGGGGGAGAGTTGTGCTGCACTGTCTGCCTCTTAGTGCCAGGGACTGTAGACATCCTTCCTGGAGGTGCTTCGCAGTGTTCACAGGAAAGTGAGTAGCTCACATGAAACATTTCAGGCTTGGAAAAGCACTACTGTGACTTGGGAGGGGGAAGGAGCTGCAGGCTTTGGAGAGAGGCTTCTCAGTGATGTTGTTTGATGGAATATTCTATCTCTTCTCTCTTTCCAGGGCTGATTGTAAGTTTGGAGAAGGAGCTCACGCCCCTGTTTGAAGAACTGAGGCAGGTTGTTGAAGTTTCTTAACCTGATGGTATAGCCAGAGTGCAGCATTCCTCTGCAGCCCAGTGGACAGAAAGATTCAATAATCGTCAGTCAAATAACACATCTCAGAAGAAATACCACAACTCCTTAGTCTACTAAGTAAGAGTAAATTGTACATAGTACTGAATCTGAAATGATCTACTAGTATGTTGTAGGTGGATGTTACTTTAGGCCATGCTTCTTGTATTGTGCAGTACTGGAGAGCCCACCAAAATAGCTCCCATGGAGTTTAGCTCAGCCAGCTGAGCCAGGCCGGCACAATGCCTTTGGCTCAAAGGAGCAACCCCCAGGTCTCTTGCTTTACAGGGCACCAGGCACATGGCAGGGTGTGTCCTCAGGCTGGCCACCACTACGTGTGGGAAAGCAGATCAGGTGGAGAGAGTGAGCAAAGACGTGGTTGGAGGCATTGAGAGGCAAATGTGTTAGCAGTGATGTGTTGGTACAATCAGTCAATATGCCAGCTTTCTTACATGGGGTGTACTTTGGCAAGGGAGTGCTACTAATCTGGATGCTAGCTGCATCCTGCTTCCACTAGGAAGAAAGCTGTTTCTATGGAAGCTGTTGCTTTAGGGATTTTCATGATGCCTAGCTAAAAGCACCCAAACAATGTCTCACTTCTTCATGGGGGTTTTTGTGTAATATGGTTGTGAAGATCTCATGTCTCATAGTCTTGGTGTGGGTTCATCACTGATGAGACTCTCAGCTTATTTACCCTTAGATTTTCTTAAGTAAATAAATATAAATAAAATACAGTATTTTTAAATGACAGAGCCTGGTCTACTCTTCTGTTGCACTGTAATATCCCAGAGCACATCTGCCTGTCTCTAGAGAGAATGGGTCTCTTAATTGTAAATGTCCAAAATCCATGAATTTATAGGCTGAAAACCAACCAGTGTATCTCTCAGTTGGGCAGGAAGGATGCCAAATCCCAGGGCAGTGCAGAGATCCTGCTGCTGGGGATCAAGCCTGTGCTCCTAGCCCCACGCTGTTGTTCCCTCCCATGTCCTCTTATGACAACTGCCAAGCACTGCCGGCCTGGGAGAGTGCTCTGGGCGGGTGTGTGCCCCAGGCTGGGAAAGGGGCTGCCATGGCCCCGTGTTCACACCTCATGGACTTTTGGTGCATCAGGCAGGATGGGGGAGAAGCAATGGTGTTGGAAATGACAACTGGGAGTTCTTGGCTCAAAAAGAAATTACAGCTTCTCAGCAACCCTTTTTCATTTAAACTAAGCTGGAATGGGACTTTTGTTGCTGGTCATTACAGAAGCAGCTGGAAGGTGTGTGTATTTCCAGCAAAATGCGTTTGCATTCCAGCAAAGGCCTCCCCTTGCTGTTTGCTTCTGCTCAACCTGTCTGTCTCTTACAGCTTCCAAGGCCACCCAAGCGTTTCTTTCACTGGTTTCAGTTTGTGACACTATGTGCTGAACTTGGTTCCAGTGTTTTGTGAAGCAGCCAGTTGCTGTGAAAAAGGGAAGGCTATGTTTGTGGTTTCCCTGCAAGCTCCATTTCCAAGCCATGTTCACAGGACAATGATGCTGTTGGAGAATATAATCTCTCTCTTCCCCTTATGCTGCCTCTCTCTCACACAGACTCACAAAGGTTTTTAACTAAATGGGAGATGCCAGTTTGTTAAAGCTTCATTATTGGGAAAAGGAGAAGAAAGCTTTAACACTACAGTACAGGAATATAAGACTTGTGGTAGTTTTATAATGACATTTTATTCAGAAAACAATCTGTATAAAAATATTTACAAATACTTTGAGTTTCTAAGTTGAAATAAAATGCTATTTATATGTCCAAATCTAGATTTTTTTTTTCTTCTTACAATGTGCTTTTGCCTTCCTCTTCTGCACTCTTCTCCCAGTAAAGGCAATTATCAAACACATTCTGCATAAGCAATGCCAAATACAGACTGCAGTATTTCACAGCAGGAGAGGTTTGCAGATGCTGTTTCAGCATAAATTTGATTGTTATGCAGGGAGAAAAGGGTTCCTCACTCTTTGCCCAGCCCTCGAGGAGGCACAGGATTGCTCAGGGGATCTTGAAGCTGGGTCAAGCTGGTCTTGAGCCTCTCCAGTGTATCAAACTTTGCTTCCAAAATGGAACATCTGTTTTGAGATGTTACAGCACCAACATCATGGGGTTCCGCTTCTTGTCTCTCTAGTGAGCCACAACTCTCTTAAATGCGTGCCTTATGAGTGGCAGGAAGCAGCTACTGTTTCTCATAACCCTGGTTTGTATACAGGTGTGCTTATGTGATGCTGCTCACCATTACCTACAGATGTTGTTTGAAACAGACATTCCCTTGTAGCCATCACTGTGGTATAAAGGCTAAACCATATAAAAATTTGTTTGACCAGAACTAAGTGTCATACATCTGTCACTTCGAGAAGGGCCTTTAAATACTACTCTCTGGATTGCAATAGAGATACTATTTACAAAATGCAATTCTGACATTTTTCTTTTGGTTTAAAGCCTAAACAGGTTAAATAAAAAGGTATTTAATGTTTCCAGAAAGGACCTGTTTTAAATAAAACGTTCAAGGTTGCAGAACATGATACTGATGCTTAGTTGTGATGGAGCTTGCAATAAATTATTGAGTGCTCTGAATAACTACAAAGGTTTTGAACAGTGCCCACTTCTGTTTGAATTAAGTGCATTACAGGCATACACCACACATATCAAACCCACACTCTGGTTCTGCAACTGCCTCCAAGTGTGACTCGGCAGCCCCAGAGCACCCAGAGCTGCAGGATCCCGTGTGTGCAGAGCTGGATGACGTATGTGTGGGGGCACAGACTGGAGACGTGAGGCTGCCCTCTGGTAAGCAGTGCCTTCCCCTCGGAGAGAGGCAATTCCTGCCACTGGAGCAGAAGCTCTGGTGCACAGCTAGGAACTGAGGGTGGCGTTGTGCTCCTCCAGCTGCTTCCGGATTTGTGACTGGAACAGAAAGACAGTCCATTACTGCTTGTCTGCCTGCATGTGGATGTGGGTGAGTACAACCAACCCAAGTCCTGGTCTTTTTTAGGAAGTAGTGATTTCAAGCCTTTATATTGTCTTCTCATTCCTGCCATCATGACCCAGGACATGCGGTCTGGGCTGATGATCCATATTCCATAAGCACATGTAATGACATCCTAAGGGATGGAAGTACTTTTTTCTTACTAATGAGCATGCCTGTTAAAAGTGCACCCCAAAAACGCTGAAGTGGGTTTGCTGGCAGATACATTATGCCCCTTTGCATGGCAATGATGAGGCCACACCTTGCCTGCTGTGTCCACTTCTTCCTCAGTTCAGGAAGGGGCCTGAGTTTAGAAAAGGGCAGTGGAGGGGAAGGGGCTAGATCATTAGTCCTATGAGGAGCAGCTGATGGAGCTCAGGGTGTTTAGCCTGGGGAAGAGGAGGCTCAGGGGTGACCTTATCACTCTTAACTCCCTGAAAGGAAGGTGTAGCCAGGTGGGGATTGGTCTCTTCTCCCAGGCAACTAGCCGCAGGATGAGAGAACATAGCCTCAAGCTGTGCCAGGGGAGGTTTAGACTGGACATCAGGAGGAATTTCTTCACAGAAGGGGTTGTTAAACATTGGAATGGGTTGCCCAGGAAGGTGGTGGAGTCATCATCCCTGGAGGTGCTTAAGAAAAGACAGGGGTGTGTCTGTGGCACTCAGCACCAAGGTCTAGTTGACAAGGTGATGATTGATCAAAGATTGGACTTGATGACCTTCAGAGGTCCTTTCCAATCTAATTGATTCTGTGATTATGGGAAAACTGCATATTCCAATCTAACTGGCCTGGCAGCCAGAACAAGTAGTCCCTTGTTGCAAGTGCTGAGAGCTGTAGCCCTGGGGGATTATGGTGGCAGCACCAGGTGCTGCTGCCTGGGATGTCGTGTAACAGCACACAGCCTTACCAGTTTCCACCGCAGGATTTTAATCCACTCGTCAGCTTCTATCCCAGTTTTTGCACACAGGTAGTAGGTCCGTAGTGGGAACACTAAACTGTAAGTAAACAAAGCTTTCTTAAGTTGCTAGAACAACTGGCAGTTCTCCCCAAAACTGAGCCCAGCTGGCCTGTACCAACAGTTACTGAGACAGCAGGGCAGGGAGGCTGTGCTCTGTTCAGCCACCAAGAGGGTGGTTAACCACGAATGGGTGACAGTCATTTACAGCCCAGGGTCTTTAAGGATAAAAGACCCACATTTGGGCACAGAAGAGATTACTATGTGACCGGTATCAGTGTTTGACCCCAAGATCCATGAGTCTAGGGGATGATTATAGATGCTTCTAGAATTAGAAATGCCCACTACACATGGGCTCACTTTTTGGCAGGCTTAATTTGTCAAAGCCATGCAGAACTGACAGAGACTGGCTGACAGAAAGAGACTTGTGAATTAGAAGATGAGTAGGGTCACAACCACCAAGGGACGTTTAAGAAGCACACATTGTTTACATTTCAAAATTCCCTTTCTATTTTGAATTTCCCAGCAATATGAAGAAAATCCTGCAACCTACCAGAAACAATTGACTCTTTCCTGGGAATAGTCAAATTGCACAGCTGAGCATTCAGTCAAGTCAAGTGCTCGAATAGGTTCTGTAGCCTTGAAGAAAAAAGTTTTTAAAACGTGGACACATGAAAACAGAAGATAAGGCTATCTAAGGTCATCTTCAGTGCATCTAGACCTTTACAGGGACCTTCACAGACTTTTCCAGGCATAGTAACACTGGCTGGAACACTATAAGCCCAAACTGGCAAGCATAACATTAGTGGTATCATGATATGAAGTGAGCTTAATATGAAAAATGCAGGACAGTTCACATCTGGACAAGCAACAAGAGGAGATCTCTACTGCAGGAATGTTTGGGATACATGGAGGCTGCTGAGGGTTTGGATGATATAACTGAAACAGCAGCCATTCTGGTAACACTTTCAGCTAAGGTTTACAGAGGCAAAGGCATGGGTATAGGTTTTATCAGACCTAGCCAGGTGTTGGAGGTTTAATTAATTCCTAAATGCCTTAAAAGGGTGGAGCTGGGTAAGGAGAAATATAGAAGCAAAGCCAAAGTAGGTTTGGCTGCCTGAGAAGCATGCATGCATGTGTACACACACGTGTGTAGATAGATATATATATATATGTATAAAAGTTTCTTTGGACAAGCTCAGGTGCATGGACTTAGGTTGTGTATAACAGCAACTTATCTCCCTTAGGAGTTTTATTCTCCCTAGGTGAGAGCTCCTCCTCTATTTGTTTCAGCTTCAGACTGTTAAGACCTCAGAAAAGGCAACTGAATGGCTTTCTGCCCAAACACACTTTAGCTGTTTCCATAGTCCTTCATCAGGTGTATGGAGGTGTCTGTTGCTTTCTTACCTTCTCTTAATATGTTTGCTGACTGAGTGGCTGTTAGTAATACCCTATATTAAAAGAAAGCCCCTTGTGCTGTGGTGTGATATCAAATGGTATTCCAGAGTCAGCTGCAGGCTGCTCACGTGTAGGTACCTGCAACCCCACAGCAACAACAGGAGTGCCAGGAGACACTGGAGCTGCTGCCTGGAAGGAGGTCGTATTCCTGACAAAGACAGGAAATCTTGTCTGGTAAGTCACTCATGGAGTGCTGCTTTTTGGAATGCTATCCTGAAAACTTAAGTTGTTTTGAACTGAAATGAAAACTGATAGCCCTGCAAAAACATAACTGTTTAGAAATGCTAATATTTAGTGAGAGAAGCCAGTTGCATCTGCTCTCATACAAAAATCTGTTAGAGGCTTGAAATAGGGCTTGGCAGAGGTGAACAGTTTGGCTGTGTTTATGAAGGAACCACAAACAGAGGCATTGTAAAGGCAAAGAAACTCTGGACGTGTTTCTTATCTTTACACAGATTAAGATAGAAATGGAGCAGCGACTGTAAGAATGCTGCAGGTTAATCTTTGTCAAAAGGAATTTTTAAATTAATGGTTTTTCATGTATCCCATGAGACCACTTGAAATAAAAGGATGAAATCAAAGAATGCAAAGGATACTACCAGTATTTTTTAGAACTATTTTAGCAGCACGGTCTCTGTCATGTTGTGTCTAAGCTACAAATAAAGGTTGTGTTGTGCTGGTAGCTTAAAATCCATTTAACAAAGCAACCCAAAATTGTATTCTAGGCCAGGCTGGGCAGGGCTTGGATCAACCTGGTCTAGTGGAAGGTATCCCTGCCTGTGGTGGAGAGCTTGGAAGAAGAAGATCTTTGAGGTCCCTTCCAACCCGAACTATTCCGTGACTGTAAAAAAAGCCCTACAAACTCTATCCAGTAGCTAAGACTGGCAGAGCACAATAAATGTTTTCCAGCTGTAAAACTTACTTTCTCCCGTTGAAGCCATCAGCAAAACTGACTTTATTTGATAGGTTTGACCCCTCTGACACTTTGGGAAGCTTTAGCTTGGAAAGCTGTGATACAGATGTGAGAAGCCAGAGATACAAGGAGGCTGCAGCTGCCTGAGTAGATGTTTAAAAGGTAGAATTGCTACTTACTGTCTGGTCTTTGAAGTACTTAAGTTCATATCTATGCAGTGTAAACCACCTTGTTTTCCAGCTCTGAAAAATCAAGAACGAATGGTAACTCTTGGGATAGTTTAGTTTAAAACTTCTTAGGAAAGAAAAACTTTCAAAGCTGCTGGCTTGCTCTGGTTTACAGTTGTGCTTTGCTGTTGCTCAAAACACAAATTGTTCCTGTCTGCAGGGAAATACAGGTGGAGCAATTTCAGCTCCAGGTCATCTTTAGCTTCTGTGAGTGATCACAGAGCAGAAGCAACAAGTAAGAGTTTCCTTACCTTGACTATTTTGCCTTGTTTTATTAAATATCCTTCCTTGGTACCAAGCTGTGAAGTAACAAAGAAAGGGATTGAGGTTAGAGGCTGAGCTCTACATCTATTTCCCACATCCCTCCCTTTGCCTACATCAGGAAGATGGATTTGCTCTTTGGGACACCCTCAGAGACACTTCCGCTGCCCTCAATGCTCCCCTCGGGTGGATCCAGCCATCTCAGGGTAAGCATGGAGCTGTGCTGGCTCTGAAGGCAGCCCCCTGGACTGTGCCTCCCTCAGGGAGCTTCTGGCCTGCACCTTCTCAGCCATACACAGCAAAAGAGCTGCAGTTACACTTTGCTTAGGAAAGCTGCATGGTTGCCTAGGTATGTATTGTGACCAGAAGCACATGGGGTTTAACTGAACTGGAATTATCCAATTAGTGGCTTTATTCCCAGATATATAATAGTGGAATTATCCCCAGAAAATGCTCCTCAAATGCAGACAGGGGAGAGTGCTGTTTTACTGAGCTGTTCTCTTCTCTCAACCAGGCCCACGCTTGGGAAGAAAAACTGTTATGTTCAACGTGCTTTTTGAAAAATTGGGATTTGAACAGTTTCTCTGGCTTCATGAGTGACACTTGGACCTTATGACTTCTCAGATACTGGAATTCTGTGTAGGGACCTGGCTGTGAGACTGAAGACCTCTGAAAATCAAAATCTTGCCAAGTTACCACTTGTTCTTGAAAAAATATTGCTTTTATTGGTGGTATGTGGAAGTCAAGCTTCTTTGGAGTCAAGCTTTCTTTAAAGTGTAACTCAGTGATGAAGGGTTGGTTGTGAGACACATCAGAAGTGGTTCTTCTAGCAACTTCATTACCTCATTTTAATGTTATATTAAGAGTTAATACAACTCTTACTCTTTTCCCCCAAAAATACAGTATATGCTTTCTGTTCAGAGCAAACTGTTCTGGAGAAACCACCTGTCTCACTTAGATATGGCTTACAAGGGATTTAAAAATTCTAATTGCTGTCCAAGTGAGTCTCAAATGTCAGTATAGGTGACGCAAATATGTATGATCATTTTTTGTGCGTGTGCATTTGGTTTTTTTTAATTCATGATAATGTTAATAAACATTATCTAAAAGATAACATGAGAATTAAATTCATATATTCTTTGTTAGGATAGTCAGACTCACCCAGCTCAGCTGCAGACAAAGTTTTTCCAGGGACAGCATTGAAGTGACAACACTTATAAAAGCCTTTATTTGCCATGGGACTGTACTGAGCAAGTCTGTATTTGTTTTGCCTTCCTTGGCAAAGACTTCCTGTATTTACAAACCCATAAAGGGATTAATAACCAGTCTTACTCCATAGCTCACTCCAGCAATCATGCTAGACTCAGGCCAGAAGCACCCCTCCCACCAGAGCACAACTTACTGAGGGAGCATTTGGGACAAGGTCACTTTCTGTCCTTCCTGTCTGCATTGCAGTGTGAACTCGGACAGACTCATAAATGGAAGGTTCTTCCACTTGCCATGGGTAGGGATGCTTCAATACAATTAAAGTTCCTGGAGAGAAAAGAGCAGGAGCAAGTCATCTGGCAAGTCGAGCTTAAAAAATAACTTGTCAGTAGCTACATCTCTGAGGAATGGTTAATTTAACCTTTTCCTAAAATTAAAAAGGCAGCTGTGAAAACTGTAAATATACAGTACCTTTTCAAAACCTGTACCCTTGCAAATGCTTGCATGAAATCTCTTGACTCATTAAATTTCTTTCCTGCCCAAGAGACTGGCTGGGAGGGTAGTCAGGATGCTAAACTAGACAGGAGGCCATAAGAGTAATTTGGTTTGCCAACATCCCAATAACTGATGCTTAAATCACTTAATCTGTCAAAGCTTTGGCTACAGGCTTGCTAACAGTAAACTCATATTACCATCACCTTCAACAGTTTTTAACACAGCTCTTCCCAGGTAAACCTTTTCATTATAGCCATTCTTCTTTTTCTCCAAGTTAGGTCATGTTTATTGCATGTTCTCTGAAAAAAATCTGCATTCTCAATAGTGAATCTATTGTACTTTTCAAAATAGTGAAGAAGATCCTGAAAATAGTAACTGTTCCACTGTCTAACTCCATTCTTTAAAATAATGTCACAGCATACCAAATGCTGCTCCATTTGCATTTTATGTTGATATTGCAGCTCTTAAAGAGGAGGGATGCTAGAACTGGTAACAACTTGGACTTGAAACCCACAGATGTGTGAGTAATTTAAAAGTATTCTGTAATGGGAAGGGCTAAAAAGAGAAGTGGAAAAGTTGTATTTGAAGTAACCAGCTGAAATCTGTTTGCAGACACGGGGGGTGTCTGCAAGTGTGATCTATTCAACTTGCCATAGGTGGAAAGTCAACACTGGTTTATTTCTATCTGGCCTTGCAGGAAAATTATGCTTTACCATTTAAAATAAAATTGAGAACAGCTCCATCATCATTCCAGAGAAATTATTCCTAAGCTGTTACATAGAATCTGTACATCATCTGTACACCATGGATAAAAAGCCCCATTGCAGAACTGGAAGGACTAATATAACATTTTCTGCAGTATTTGTTTTCTAATAAGTTCTCTGTGGATTTTTTTCTTCCACAAAGACAATTGTGAAGAATAATCTGGTAATTATACACAAGATCTAGCAAAAGCTGCACTGTAGCAAGATTATTCTGCCACATCTGCATCTGATGATGCTTGGATTGGAGTTGAGTCTGATGAGCCCATACCCTATTTTTGACAAAAGATGGTTATGACCCAGGAGAAATTTGACACCTGTATCTGAAGAAATATTGCCTGAGTGTTAATTCTCTCTTCCTCTCTGTTTCTCATGGTATGGTAAGGTGGAAGGTTTCTTGATATGATGTTCAATGTTTTGGATTTTTTTTTTTATTCTGCAGCACATCTTAGAGGTTTCACAGAGCCAGCAGAATCTTATTAGGAAATCTTAAGGCGACAAGTGTTGATCCCATCCATAGAGATCAGATAAAAACAATGTTTTGCTCATTAATGTCTGTAACACATGCAGTGAAGGAGTGAGGAATGGGGAAATACAAGTTTTATGTCATCTGAAATCTTTGCAGAGCTAGGCCTGTGAGTGCATGCCTGATTTCCCAGGAAAAAGGCACATGTATCCACTGGAACAGAGGATACATGTAGGAGCTCTGTGTTTGAACCACTCTTGAAAGCAATTTAAAAAGTGTGTTTTGAAAGATGCAAGTGCCATATTGAGTGTACAACTGCATTTTTCTCAGGAGAAGAAATTGGCATAGAGCCCTTGAATCTAATGTTTGTGTTAGCTGAGTACTGGTGCATATTTAGTGTGTAACATGTTACAGTTATTGCATGTGCCAGCCACCACTTAACTGGACTCTTGCATACATAATGAGAACTGCTCTGAGTTATTTGCATACACTTGCCACAGAGGATACTGAAGTTTTCGGCATTAAATTGCACTGACATGTCTTCAACTCTTACACTTGAAGCTAAACATAAAACTGACATTATCGTAATAATATCCACTTTGTTTCTCCAGGGATTCTAGTCCAATGGTGTTCAATTCACATGTAGGAATCAAGTTTAGTATTTTGACCCTTAATTCAGGCAGCACATTGGTTGTTTAAAAAAAAACCAGTGTTCTTCTCTCTCTTAAAAGTGAGACAAATCAGTGATGGCAGGTGGCATCAGCATGGTGATGCGCTGAAGGCAGAACAGGAGATTCCCTACAGAAAGATGAGCATAACAATGTAAATGCCTTCCTTGGACAAAGAATAAGTGAGATGAAACAATTTCAAGTCACTTTTCCATTTATTCTTATTGAGGAATTTCAACTTCTAAGATGCATATTTATTTCCTCACTAGCACCATGCTTTGGTTTTGCTGTTTTTGAGAACGTTCTAATCCTCCTAATATCTTGAAATGCTTCCTCCTCTGAGAAATTGAAAGGAGCTCATAGCCCTGGTTAGCAAAAGCCCAATAAGCATATGCATGGTTTAACTTCAAAGAACTTGAAAGATTTTTTTAAGTGGAATTTATGAAGATGAACACTTTAGCAGATCTATTTGCTAGTATGTGAGAAGCTCCTTTTAGTTAGATCTCCACAAAGAAGCATGGCTACAAATATGTCCGTATACACAATATGGCTCTCCTTACCTGTTTCACTTCCAATTAAAGGCTGGTTTGCAAAATGCATGACCAATTCCTTCAAGCTAGAAAACTCATTAAATCCAAATTTGAATGAAGTTCCTGTATGTTCAACATGGAAGTGTTTCACAGAATCTTTTCCCCTAAAATAGAGGGAAATTTGTCAAAACATAAATGCCAAAGGCATTTGGCACATACAGTCCTTAAATGGCAGCTTTCACTACAGAGAATCTGACCCAGTTCACAGGCTGGCAATCACTGTCCTTGTAGTGATACTACAGCCATTAATACTCAAAGCATTTGAAAATCAGATTTCAATAGCTGATTTACAGATATGAGATAATGAAAGCCTAGATAGGCCAAGTTGGTTAATTCATCTCTTGCATCAGCAAAAAGACTCACAAAAGAGATTTCAAGCCTTCTGCCTAAATAGGATGAAATCCTTTCACTTACTGGACTTCAGTCTTGAAGGTGTACTCAGTATATGTCTTGCTTTTCAAGTAGCATCCCAATCTCACTGAAAATGTCTTCTGTTTCCCTTTGAAAAATAGGCTGCCTCCATTTTGCACCAAAACAAGGGTTTAATAACCTAGTTTTAAATATTTAGGGCTTTAGAATGTGTTTGCTTTGTCTCTATACTTGGATGATTTGTTCCACTAGGATGGGCACTGACAAACATGAACCAGGGTCCTTGTTCTGTAAGGGAAGTAACAGCTTTTGTTTATGAAACCTGATGGCATTTAGAGAAGTGTGCATGGTCTCACTTCCTGGGTGGTTGATTATTTTGACTTCAAAAGACAGTGAAGCACTTATCGCAAGTATTTCTCCAGTGAAAAAGTTACTATTGTTAATGTTACTAGCATCCAAAATAGTTGAGTAAACTGTCTGAGGAAATATATAGCAAATATACTGAAAAAATGTGGTAAAGAAAATTAATTATAGTGTCTCTTTCATTGTTTATTGCCACTTCCAAATAAGATTATGATTTCAAACAGGTATTTAAACATTTATCTTTGAACAGTATTTATGATACCGTTGAAGATGCCTCTATGGGCCTCCCAGATATTTTGTCAGCTGGGGCACAGCAAGCCAAGTACAAATGCTCCACTCCAGGGAAGAGCTGTTGTGACTACTGCAATTACAAGGCTTTCCATCTTTTTGTTTAATTTCTCAAGACAATGTTGCAATGGGAGCAAATTCTACTCTGCTTCCTACTTCCTTTTCAAACTTATGTAGCTGGGGGAGGGGATTTCAGGCATTATGTTTCTCTTCCTACAGCTGTCAATAAAAACCTCAAGGGATGGCTAAGCATTTTTTCCTTGAAAAACATCGAACTATAATCTTGACCTAAGTTCCTTGTGAGGCTGAGGCAGAAAATAAAGCAAAAGCTACAGAAGACATTTTAGGATAGAAGGAAAATGACAGAAATGATAGCTAGAACTGCTGAAGTTATCCTTTCTACAGAAATGTATCAGAACAAAATTGAGTTACCTATTCTAAAATTAAGTTTTAATGTTAGTCAAAAAACTAAAATGTTTTACAATTTTTCTACTGGTTAATGTTAAGTTTTCTTTCAAAATCAAAATCAGTATTCAAAGGAGATGTACCACCAGAAAAAACAGAAACTAACAGAACAGAATAAAAGATCAAACTTCAGACTGGGCTATTCGGTTCATATGGCAATGCAGTAAGTAACTCTTGCTACATGAAAAGCTGAACAAGAGATTGAAATGGGCCTGGAATTGACTTCTGCAGGTTTTCTAAGACTAGAATCTGTTAAAGCAGCAAATTTATTTTCATTAACTAACACTTCTGTTTCCTATTAAAAGAACTATTTAAATTTTGGTTTATTACTATAAGTTGTTTCCTGATTGCCCTTTAAAACTACCTTCAAGATACACATATATGTATTTTAATTGTTTGAGGTAGTTATATCAAATAATGCTTAACATTTTAAAGTAAAAAAATACTAACCAGAAAAACAATGATTAATTTAAAATTACTTATTTTAAGGAAAGCTATTACTTTGAAATGACACTATTCTTTTTGGCAACACTTGCACTCAATTCAGTCATTGCAACTCTGAATATTCATTTTGTAACATCACCTTCAGATCTGTTGGGCACCCTTTGTATAAAGGGCTGCCTATAGTGGTAATAATTTCAACAGTGTGTATATAGGCACACTTGCTCCTAGATCTTCTGTCAGAAATGGGTGAAACATCTCATTATTGTCTTTCCTGGGGAACAGGATACGTGCAAATTGGACTTTCCTCAGTTCCCAAGCAACTACTCTTCCAAATTGTAACAGCTCCTTGTCCTGAATATGCAGAAAGCCACAATCTGAAGGGCATGTGCTGTGCTCCTGTCAGCGGTATAAATAACCAGCAGCATTACACAGAGTGACTTTTAAAAGTTACAATGATTCAGCTGAGTTGCAGCCACGAATTGTTCAGAAGCTCAGTTTGCAGCAGGAATGAGCTTGCATGCACCAGCTTAAAATGTTGGTCTAGAGGCTTCTTGTATCACACAGTTGCTAAAGGCTACAAATGTTTTTGGGGCTGGTTACCCCCACCTAGCCGATGTGCAGGGACTGCCTTGTGAGCCTAATATATGTGTCCTTAGGTTGCCTTGCTAAAATGTTGTGGCTTCTCTCCTTCTGGGAGACTCTTTAAATGTGATTCAGTAGTGAAGTAACCAGCCTGGGCTTCCTCTGCTCTGTATTGGTTGTATCCTGAACAGTTGTGTCCTAAATTGCAGTAATTGACTTCAAGGCCCTGACATGGATCATCCACAAGGTGCTATTTAATATCGTCTCGCAGACCTGCCTAAGACTGAACCTCAGCACAGAACAGAGCAGTAAAACCAGGCAGTCAAACACTGGATCATCCTTCACAGATGATGGTTCCTACACAGGGATTCAGAAACTAGTAAGGTTAGCACCAGTTAAATGTTTGCTGCTGTCCTCATCATAAAACTTTTCTATTCCCACCAGCTGAGCTCTTTTAACTGACAGGCAGATTTTTATCACACAGACTGAAAATTTACAGCCATTCTATAGAATCATGTTTTCTCCCAGTAAGATTCATTCATAATTTGGAAAAGTGAGAGCAGTTGTGAAATCCAATCCAATTTTTTCCCCTAGCAAAATGTCATTTAGTGAGATTATATCAATAGGAATGTATTTCGAAATAGTTTAAGGCCTAGGAAAAAAAAACAACCTGTAATGCATGGGATATTCAAACATGGAAGGAAGTGCAGCATTGGATTAGCTCACTCTGCCCATAGCCTACCTTACAGAGAGGGAGTACAAACCTTCCCTTTCATTACTCTTCCTCAGAAGGTAGCTCCCATCCTGCCCGTTGGAGAGCAGCAGCGCTTCTGCTGCGTGCCGGGTGAGATTGCCATGGTACCACCTGGGGAGACACAAGGGGTCAAAGCATCCTTCGCTCTGCTCTTTACTGGCCTCTGCTGCTTTTTGGAGCAGGGGTAGGAAAAGCAGTGTTAGTTGCAGTCCTTCCTCTACAATTTTGAGTTACCACCCTTATCACAGGCACTCACAGTTTACACAGATATGTGCCCCTTGCAGTGGCCTCCTTTTAACACAGTCAAAAAATACTTTTCGTTAACACAAAGCTCTGTGCAAACAGCTCTCTGTTTTGCTGGATCTAAAAACCCTGAAAATTCTACTTGCATGAGCAACAAATTATCCAGGTTTGTGCTGATAAGGTGAAAGCAGTTTTGGGGGGTACACAGAATCCTTTGTCTATTTTCAGAAGCTGTACTTCCTGCCATTTGTATATTCTTTGGTACACTTCCTCTTCTGGGCAAACGGGCAGCACTTAAACTCCTCATAAACTTTGTGTTTCCCGCAATGCATCTTCACTGCCAAGATCTGCAATTAAATATGCGTGCCTAAGCTTAGAATTAAAGGGACCAAAATTACCTGACATAATTTCAGTGAAAATTAAGATATATTGCTGTTACTGCCTCTCAGCCAGGTGTGATCCAAGCAACAAAGGAAAACATCTAAACACTATTTAAATTTATCTTCAGTGAAAATTAACTTCATTTTTATATGAAAAGTCTTGCAAGGACTTCACAGGAAAAAAATCCTGCAAAGAAGTCCAGGAAGTGTAGTTTACTGGTTTGTTTCCATTCAGAATGTTCCACAATGGAAACACTCAAGTTTTTTACAAGAGACAAGGATTTCACTGGAAATGAACCTGAGACTGAACACAAAAAGCTGGAGCTATAAAAGGCTGGAGCTGCAATCCTGCAAGGCACATGATAATAACCATAGCCATGCACGTATACACAAGGCCCTGGAGCAGAAGGAGGGAGGGATACTACATCCAAGGCTCTGCTGGGAGCAAGCTTTCCTTGTCTGTATGTGGAGTGGTGCCAGGTCACCTTTCCCTTCCTTTAAAATGCCTGTAGCATTGGGAACAAAGCCTGGCACTGCCTCAGCCAAAAAAACATCGTTTCACTGAAAGCAGAAGTGCCATGGCAGCACTTTCCAGAACTTGTATCATGGCAGTCTTCGAAATGAAACCAGGTGTAATTGTATCTTCTTTCTCCTTAGCTGTTCACCCCAAGTTTCCACCAAACTTGGCATCTCACACAAAGCTTTAACTCTGAATTTGGACGGCTGCCTATTTTAAAGGCCAGCTGGCTGATAAATTGCTTTATGAGAGACTCCAGACTGTTAACCCAGAGGAAGAGAAGATCCATGTGAAACTCAATACAGGCAGGGTATTGAGCTTTGGCTCTAGAATGTGGTCCATCTACATCTAGAATAAAATAATGAACATTTAAAGATCAAAGTGTCATCCTCTGGAACACCTGTTAGCCAAAATCTGCTTTGGGATTAACTGTCCAAGTAAGTAACAGGCAAAGGTTAGATCATCCCTGATGTGGGAAGGATCGTATTGGCATGGCCAGACCTGCAGCTGAGAATGCAGGACTGTTTGGGGTGGGATTTTGTAACACTACTTGGCTCACTTCTGTGCAAAAGAAGCAGATGTTGAGAAAATCTGAGAGGTCATTGTGACAAAGGAGGTGAATTTAGTTTGAGGTTGCTTGTAACTGCGTCGTTACCTTGTTTCCAAAAAATGCCCTTTTACTAAACTTTTGAAAGAGAAGTCCCTTAAATTAAAATGCTGTGTTTAAATCCACTCTCTCTTTAAACATAAAAGACCAGTGACTAATGAATTATTACTACCATACAAAAAAATAGACAGATCAACCAGAAACCAACAACAAAACCCTTAATTGGGAAAGTGCACTTTTAAAACTTTGCTGACAAGGCTGCACTAGTTTCTTGCCTAAATATGCTGTATCAGACAAAAATCCCTCAAATGTTTCTGTGTTCCTCTTGTTCAGCTCAAAAAATAGAAATGGATGGGAGACAGTAACGCAGATCTCAGTGTCAAAGGGACTGTCACACGTAGTTTTGGTGTTTTCTTCTTCCTGACTGTGAGAGATGGTTTGGTCAGGTTACTTCAATATTCCGCTGTGAAAATGGTCACACAAACTTTGCTCCTCTTGCATAAGCGCAGGTAAAATATTAAAATGCTGCAGAAAATTTAGAATTGGTACCACAGGCCACCAGGAAGGTAAACAAATACACACCTATGCAGTCTGCTCTCACAATCAAGCCTGAGTTGACAGTACAAGTAGAAATCACCAGGACTAAAAGTAAACCCAAACAGTCCTGTGGTTAGACACTACTAGGTATACTTCAGGCAAATGTAAGTATTTTTCACAGGGAGAATCCTTCTATTTATCTGTCTCAGAAAAAATCCTTTATGCAGTTCTTTGAAACTGGCAGGTAAATCAAGACCGGAGTTACTTGGCAAAACTGTAAAAGGCAGTCCACCTTCAGCTGAAGTTTTGGTTGTCTTCTGAGTTACATCTGGAGCAGGGAACTGGTGATACAAAACACAATACTGTATCTACCTTCATGCCATCTTATAACAAGACATTAAGGAAATTAAAATGCTTTACAAACAGCCATCTCTTTGAAGCCCCTAGAAAGTCCTTCGCAGAGCTGAATTGTCTTAAATCTTTGGGTTTGAACACAATGGACAATGTTGGATAATCAGAATGTTTTTGAAGGTCTTTCCAAAAGTCATCTTTATAGAGTCTTGTGTTCACTACAAAACAAATCCAGAAATATGCTCTGTACTTTGACACCTTTCAGACTGAAAATCATTGGTAGTGTAAAAATTGCCTGAGGTTCTTGATTGAGATTTCTCTGAGAAACACAAGAAAGACAGATGAAATTCCTTCCCTGCTTCAAAGCCGCTTCTTCTGGCTGCCCTTGGCCTTGTATACTCTCCTGATATGTATACATACTTCTGGGAGGTTTCTCTTTCCTAATTATTTCATTTCTTCTATTAAAAAAGAAAAAAAGCGTGGTCAACTTCTTGGGGTTCCTTTTCTGCAATTTGACTAGCAATCTCAGGCTCAGAGTTTATAGCTGCTGCCATTTATTCATTCTTGTTACTTTAACTTCATACTGAATGACATTAAATCTCTTTATCCTGTCCATGTAAGCACGTTTGTGTTGTCAGTGTGTGTTCTTGAATGACCACGCCACTCTTCCTGCTCTTTGGAATGGCCAGTGAAAGCATGTCTTAGGATGGGCAAGCACAGCCAGTGAGATCACTTTTGCTACCCTTTGAAAAAAAAACATTTTCAGATACCGGCTTATTCTTTAGGTCACACTGCAGTGGTGACAGCATAGAGGAAGGACTTTACTGACAGCTTTTACAGGAAGGAGAAGGAAATGAGACACCCAACGTCCCAGAATGCCCAAACTAATCAGAGCCTACAGCCTTGCCCTGAAGATCAGCCCCTCCAGTCACCAGTGGGGTTTCCCCATGGAATAAGCTGGTGGCTACTGCAGAACATGTCTGTGCTGACCAGCTGTGCCCCTGCAGCTGTGCTAATCATCACAACTCCAGAACAGGATGCACTCACATTAAAACCTCTTCTTAAGAAGGTCTCTGTATAGTTAATGCAGTGACTAGAGCTATCTGCACTGTGGTGAAGATCAGGAATATGTTACAGCAAAGTTTAGGGTGGGAAACTCCCTTTTTAGGTTAGAACATCATCCTCAAAATGTTTATTCATTCTTTAACAGCCTAAGCTGTTCCAATGAAAAATGTCAATGCAACTTCATTTCTGTGTCCCCTACGGATGAGAATCCTTAGATATGGCATCTGTCATTCCTGATAATGCTGTTTTCAAAGAAATCATGTGGATATTTTGCAAAAATTTGCCTCTGTAAATAGGTGCTGCTGAATAAATTTGTAGTTGGCATCAGGTGGACTTTTTAACAATAACAAAATACACAAGGAACACAAACACTCTTGCATGAAAGGGTGAATGCAGAGTGGCTTGGATAATTCTCTTCAGAGCCATTTTTATGTGCAAACTGTATAACATCCAAAAATTACTGTAAAACTGATTCACTACTTCTCTATTTTTGGCACTCTGTATTTCAGCAACTTCTAGCTCTTATCTGTCAAGTTTAGTAGATTGGGATTTTAAAAATTTTTTTTCCTAATATCACACCTTAGAAGCATTGCCCATCATCTGAAAATTGCAAAAGGGTTCTCTGTACCTCATATCAGTAAAAGTGAAGTTTTGTCCATGTTATTAATGGTGCATGAGTTGACAGAGCTCTAGAGAATCTCCAAAAGGGCAAGATTGCTAAGAAAGAAGTTACAGGTGTATTACAAATCGGTATTTTTTAGACATCCTTTTAATGTGTTACACTGAAATACTTAATCACAAATCTGAGTAAAGTACTTTGCTGGAATATAAGGATGCCATTATATGGGGGAAAATAATTTAAAGATAGAAATAAGAGGAAATAACATCATTGTATCCAGTCTTAAGGTTTGTCTTCTAACTATAGACTTTCACTAGTTCAGCTTCTGCTTTGCACTTCCACTTTCTCTCCCCTTTCTTTCAACGGCCTTCATTCTGATTTTCACCCATTATTTGGCCCACTTTCTAGTCACTTTAATTTTATTGTGCTTAAATTAGAAAAAAGAGATGAAAAAAATTCTTATGACTACTTACCCTGTTCCAGTCTAACATGTTCCTGAGTTCCTCAATTTTATTATCACCTGATTTAGGCCTGTGGCTTAATTTCTCTTCTGTTACTAAAACTAAGCCTGAAATACATTGTCCAGCCTTACAAATATCATCTGTAATGGTATTGTCAGACCTGGAAGAGCATAAAAGCTCTGTTGCAAGGGGTGACAAAGGAAATTTGGATTATAGGAGCAAAAAAGGCTACAAAAAATTTGTTTCCTCTTGCCTTGTGCCTTTCCCTTTAGACAAACAGTGTAACCCAAACTATGCTGTCTTGGGATGGAAACTGTGCTACCAGACCAGCCTGTAATTACTCGTATGACAAGATACTCCACATTCTCATCTCTTGCGCAAATAACTGCAAAGCGGAATTTCCCAAGCTCACGCAGTACGTGCTCAGCCACAGCAGCTCCATGCTGCAGTATCCAGCTTTGCTTTCAGCTCTAACAGCAGCAAAGGCAACTGGAAAATGGATCGACCCCAGGAATAACCAACAAGGCCTTCAGAGAAGAATCCCATTGCCAGTTTCCTTTTCCTTTAAAGCCTTATTTTCTTTCCTTTCCTTTAAAGGTGCTTATGTCTCTTTTGGCAAACTTCAGAGTTCCCTTTTAAACATTTTGATAGATTTAGGGACAAAACTAATGAGTGAAGCAACAAGTTTTTAACAACGTGTTCTACTTTGATCTTTTTATTAAGCATTAGGTCCACACATCAATACACATCAATAACACGAAGCTGACTATAATCTCAATTTTCACTATATTGCTGACAACTTTCTATTCTGTTGAGCAGCTAAACTGATAAACTGTGAGTATATCCTGGTACTTGGCCTCTTAAGAGTAAAGTCCTTCCATTTTCACACTTCTTTAAATCTTATCCAACTTCTTTGATTTTTGCACCAGAAAGCAGAAGCTTTAAAATAAACTGCTTCAAAATCCCCCACAGAGGTATGTGAATGCTGATGACTATTGTCTCTGCTGGACAACACTCCTCACTAGAACTGGGTCTCAGTTGTGCTGGACACTGCATCAGCTGTCAGGGGAACTTTGCACTGTGAGAGTATGGGACTAAGTTTAGGATGGAAAACCCTTGTGATGACTGAAAATTTCATTGTATGCTCTGGAGAGTGATACACCTATTTGTCACACCTGAAAAGGTATTTACATTCTTTCAGATTATGCTACAAGACTGTCTGCTGCATGAGGACTTATTTTGCATCTTTAGACAAAAAAAAAAAAAAAAAGAGAAGAAAAGTGGTTTTAGTACTAGCTGAAAAGCAAGGGCCTTGTTTAATAATTTGAAGGAAATCTTTGCCTGGCATTGCTTATTCAACTTCTACGCATTTAACTCAACACATTTCCCTGAAGGAGATGCTTAGTATTTTGTGGAAGGGTTTAGGTTTTCCATTAAAGTGGAAGTAAAATAAAGCAGGTACAGCTTTAAAAATGTGTATTTGTAGCCTGCTCATCTGTACTCCTTCCTTCTCATGGAAACCACATTAAGCAACACATCAAGCTGCATTTCTACAAGGCTATCTACGAGTATTAACTCCTTGCTGTTTATAGGCAGATGTTACTGGCATATATTAACTCAGACCACATTGTGGAAATCTATAAAAGTCTGGTAATTGGGAATCACGCTTCCCACAACAGCTGCAACTACTTTTTCTTTCCTTCTTCCCTATAGATACTGTTTTAGGATGAGCGTAATCTCACTGATGCAAAGAAAAGGTATATAATGGGCTACTCTGGGTACCACTGCAAAGTGACCTTACTTAATTTCATACCTGTTAGGTGCTTCAATTAACAAGCATTTCATTAAAAGGTTCTTTTCTATACAGGAAAGTAGCACCAGTGTGGAAATAGTAATTCCAACCGATTTTGTTGCACTCCAATTTGTTCACTAAGTGAATGAACCAAAATAAGCAACGCATTGGTCCGAGTCTACAAGTATTCAGGAAGCAAAGCACCGTTACTTTTTTTCATCAATTCTTTTTGAAGGCAGAGGCGACACCAGAGCCTTTTTGTTTTGTCAGAATGATCGCTGACCTCTCTTCTGCTTTGCCTCCCCTTTGCATTGCTGCCACCGATCCCGTCCTGCCTGCGCCCACCTGTGCTGCTCCTCCAGCCCGTGCTTCCTCTTGCCCACGGCAATGCAGCCCATGACAAAGTGACCCAAGCCTCTCTCCTGTAAAATCCAGAACTAACTGGCGGACAAAACGGGCGAGACACATCAGACAAGGAACATGGTCTGTTGCGACCTTCTGCCTTCCTTTATGCTCCTGGGTTTTGCTTTTCGGTGAGCGTGATGTCCTCCTCGGAGTGGCTGTGAATTATCCGCTGCTCTCCCTCCTGAAGCCCCAGCCACCTTTGGGAATTGTCTATCCGATGGCAATGGCTTCAAGGCCACTGAGGCTCCCTGAGGGAAGCTGCACCCCTGCCACCAGCTCTCCACTACATTCGAACCGTGTGTCTGCGCTCCCGGTTTTCTAATTATTCATTTCTCCCGGTCCCCTGTGCCAGCCTCTCAGCCCTGCCCCCGGGACGAGGCGCTGGGCTTCTCCGAGGGGCCGCAGCACACACGGAGCCCTTTGGGGGCCTCGCTCCGACAGACCCCGCGTTACCCCATCCCTCATTTCATCCCGAAATCCACAGCTCCCAGGTGCCGGGTGTCCCGGCACCCCCAGGCTGTCGCTGAGGGCTCCCTGGGTGAGGCCCGCGAGCGCCGCTTACCCGAGCGCCATCAGCTCCCCCTCCGACGGCTCCCGGCGCTGGGCCATGGTCCCGCGGCTGCTCCGCCGCCTCCGTGGGGCTGAGGAAGTGCGGCCTGGCACCTCCCCGGGAAGGGCCCAGCCCCTCCTGGCCCGGCACAGCCCTGCCCGGCCCAGCGCCTCCCGCCCCGGTGCGCCCCGGCCCCAGAGGAGACTCCCACCCTCGGCGAGAGCAGCCGGAGCCCCCGGCTTCCAGCGGTGCTCGCTCCCATACTGCTGGCACTTGGGTTTATCGCCAAAATAATTCATACTTCCCTTTGTTTTAATCTGGCCCTCCCAGAAGTTCGTGTTCCAAAAGGGTTTCGTTGTCCGTTCGCTTTTCTCCTGCCATCAATCAATGACTTGATTGAACCCTCGCCTCTTCTGTATCCGCCAAAGTACTCAGCGAGGAAATCTGTGGAGGTGAAATTTGTGTATTATTCTGCAAGTGCCAGGTGTTCAATCCTGTTCCCAGACAGCCCCCAGAGCCCAGGGGGTTTGTGGCTTGCCCCTCCGAGCGCAGCTTTCCATGGCCCTGCCGCTGGATTGCCAGGGAAGGGGGGATGCTCCTTGCCCAGGGTCTGCCTCGCCGCGGCTCCGGCATCCTGACCCCCTGATTCCCGTGTGATCCTCCAGGATCCTGCCGGCTTTGAATCTGAAACAGGAATACGAACGTAAACTGCTAGAAATTTCCAACTTCATTCCCCCTTTGGAAGTATCAAGAGGACTGAGCTTTGTGGATGAGAAATTTCTGAGCGTTATCTGGTGTCCTTTCCAGCAGCTTAAATGATCTCCTGCAATAAAATACTAGAGGTTATTTGGTATTCCCTGATACTTCATGGACAGTAATTATTATAGGTGTAGCAGATTCCTGACAAAACTTTTTTGACAAAAGAACAGGACTCAAAAAAAAAAAAAAAAATTAAAAAGCGAATGTTTCTTTCCAGTCATACTGAAGTTTTCACCAGGTATCCAGTACTGAAAATCAGCTGTTTCCAGAAAAACTGGTATTTTAAGAGACGGAACAGCTATTTATTTTCCCCATAAGCAGTTGTATGAACTGCATGCTCAGTGTGGAGCTAAGAGTCATCTGGAACAGGATTTTTCAGCCTGCAGCTCTTGCTGGTCTTGAGCTTTTCTGGCCTCCCAAATGGGAAAATCTTCAGAGAGGTTCCATGTGTCAGATCAGATTGTACTTTGTTTGAGCTTTTAATTGTGGCTGCAAGGTGCTCTGCTTCTTGTGTTCATGTCAAACAGGCAGACATTCAGCTGTAAAGATTTTGCAAATATGCTGGGGTTTTTTCCTTACTAGGAAAAAAAAATTTTTAGTGGGGAAAAATACTCTTTTCTTTTTTCTGAGTTTGTCCCTTCCTCTATTGCTTGTTGAAAGCTTGTGATCAGATACTCTGTTTGGTAACCTGACTCTGAAATCCACAACATTTGGTTAAATAGATGCTTTGATGTCTTCACTGTTTGCTTGTATTTGCTGGATAGGTGTAGTTTTTATAGTTCTCCTGTTATGGAAGCCACTGTGTTTGATTTCAACACTGATGAACTCATTCCAGGTTATCTTGTTTGTCTTACTGATAGAGGCAGAAAAGCACCTATCAATGTTTCTGGATTACAGAGGAAAAGGCATAGAAGGAAAAATTAATTAAATTCCAAACAACAAAGAGCCACAACTAAATTTTAGTAAATTCTAATTATATCCAAATGGTCTTAAAAGTTCAGCAATGAAGGCTCAGAGGTGGTTTCCAGCCCTCGTATACACCGTGGTGTTTTGTGCACTAGTGTGTTGTGGTGAGAGGGGTTTCCCATCTGGGAGCAGATGCTTCCTCTTACTCTGCACCTGAGAGTGCAATATTTCCTCTTCATTTGTAGGAAGGAAAAAAAAAAAAAAGAAAAAGGCAGAAATTGTACTCTCATGTAGCAGAGACTATCTTTCCTTTTAATGAAGCCCACTTGATTTGGGGTTTTTGACACAGGTTAGCCACTGGACAGAAAGGCTACAGATTGCCAGCTTGCACTTCCCCAAAGCCAGAATACTTCAGTGTCTGTGTTTTGTTCCTGTTCCCAAGCACGGGCATCCCTGCTGGAGGACTGGTTCCGTGTGCAGTGTGAGTGCTGTGCAGACCTGTAGATAGCAGCAGTGCTCTGGTGTTTGCAGCTCAACGCGAGCGCTGCTGGCCACAGAGCACCCCCAAAAGACAATTTAGCTCTCTAGTCATCCCCTCACAGCTGTCAGTTAAAAACCAAAGTGTGATTTAATTAAAAAAAACAATCTCTTCAAGTCTTTCTTGAATAACTGTACCATCTCACAGGAAACAAACGCCAAACCCCTATTGTTTTACATTTAGGTCATGAAAAACAAAAGGAGAATTGTGGCTGTCAAAATGGGGAGGGTCAATAACGATTGATACGTGTGCAATTATTCCCCGTGTTGTGTCACACTAGGTTATTCCAGAATGCCATATTTACCAGCAAACTTCAAAACCCAGTAAATGCTTTACAGTGCAGCCACCAGGTCTCTCAATCCAGCAGGTGTTTGCTTTCATGATTGCGTTTTTGAAGATTGTGCGTTTTCTTTGGGCAGAAATTGTGGGATTGCTTTGAGAGCTTATATCTCAAAGGTCAGATCAGTGGTCAGATCCCAGGATCATGTTGGTTCTTCAAGGTTTTCCAGTTTTTTTGCAGCAATTGTTTAAACCTGTTTGAAAGTTTTAAATTTTTTTCATGTAGCTGTAATTTTTAGATATACTTTTAAATACACTAAATAAAAGAGAATATGGCTTGGCATGTGACTAATAAATAGACATGATTGCTGCAAAAGTACAATTAAGTAAGTCCAGTTACTTGACAGACCTTGGCAGGAAAGAATTGAAAATTTAATTTCTTTCCTTTTACCTTTTACCATTTCACCTTCCAGTAACCTGAAGAGATTATAGATAGCTGTGAACCATCCAAGCAAAGATGGTCAATCACAAAAACAGTGATTTTACCCAAATGAAAGTAAAAGAAACAGATATATTACAAAGCCATTGTTAACATTGTTAATTGGGATGAGAGGCAGGTTGGGATGGAGCTCAGTGGGCACCCACAGAGTACAGGTTTCCTACACAATAGAGAGTTGGCCATTGATTTATTCTTCTTAGGTGACTGTATTTGATAGTTTTGCAGTGCCCAAGACATCTAATCCCTATTACACTCAGGTATGACACCATGGCATTCTGTGAAACTCTCTAAAGCAGCTACAGAAGTCTTTGCACCATGTCCAAACACAGGATGCACACTAATGTCATCTTCTGAAATTAACCTGATTCTTCCCTTCTGAATGTGGCACAGATTGTCTCGGAGCATTTTTTGGAAATAATTTTTATGCTGGAAAACACTTCAGATACTGGATATCAGCATAGTGATGAGTTTACTTTGTGGATTCTGAGGCACACGAGGCATGTTTATTTAATGTGTTTCTAATGTCCACGGTCAACACATTTCCAGAACATGCCAGCTAGCCCTGTGTTGTCTGCAGTCTATTCAGATAGGAAACACAGAACGGTGGTGAGAAAAGGAATTTGAAATTACCCAGCTTCCTAGGGAAAAATGGCTTGAAGGCAAATTGTGCAAAAGGAAGGGTTGCTCTTGCCCCATTTTCTCCACAGTTTGGGCAGGGCAGAGTTTCTATAACTAAAGATCACAATAGTTGTGTTGCTTTTAGGGTTCATTCCCCAGGCCTGGATTAGGAACCTGTCTCTACCTAAGCACAGCAAGAGGTGAAACAGCCATGCCTTCCCAAGCCTTTGTGGAGTTTCCTGCAACTACGATAGGCTTAGCCATGTCACAAAGGAATATGATGATGTATGAGACCCCAGAGATATTTAGTAATTCAGCTTTATACGTCTCTTAACTTTGCCCTTAGTAAAAAAAAATACTAGCATTCTATTCTCCTCTATTCTAATTCAGCTACTCCTCTAGAGCTAAGTACAGGAGGAATTTTTTTATGGTTTCTGAACTTAAACAGGGACATGGAAATAAGTACAGGAAGTTTCCCTTGATGCTTGCTAAAATTTTCCTAGCCCTTAATGGCTGTGTGCATAACCAGGAGCTGGAGCATGTATATTTTGAGATGATAGTGAGAGATTAAATGCCTCTAGCTAGAACAGCTGTGTTACTGCACGTGGTTTGGTTTTCACCGTTTCAATAATGTGGATAATGATGGGAAGATTATGTGTTTCTAGTTTCATTTCTACAAGGGAAACTTTCTAGGAACTTTGTCAATCCACTGTTTAATGTACATGTGTGCTTGAAGCCTTCAACACATATTTCATGTCTTCTTAGACACAGCCAGCCTCCTTAAAACTTCCTACTTTAGGGCAATGTCATGCTCTCTTAATAGATGATGTGCAAATGTTTTTCCTGTCCAGCCAAATCCCAAGATAATCTCAAGAAATAAACCTAAACACCTAGAAATTATCTTTAAATTAGAAAATGTGAGTTTCAGTGGCTGTTAGTGGCAGCACACATGGGGAGGTGGGGTAGAGCAGGTCTTGTTGCCAAAGGGCAGGGTGAGGAGCAAGTTTGGAGACAGGCAGCTCCTCTTGTGGGCTATGTGGTGCCTTGAGCCAAGTGACCTGCTGGCAGTTCAGCCTCTGTCCAAGAGCAATCAGACCTGGCTGACAAGTCTGTGCTCTGAGATTACCCAATAATTAAAGATGAAGAGAGGAGGAGCCTCCCCTGACTCCCTCAAGGATGGCTCTTGGCTGTATTGATCTAGGTTGGAGAGCACCTTTAGGGTTGGAGACCTGAATGTCCTCACACTGGGATTTGCTCCAGGGATTCCTGCTTGCCTGTGAAGCCAACCCATAACTCTGTGCTGCAGCAAAGCTCAGGGTGCCAGGTCCACCTCTGTTCTGGCTCCCAGCTCTTCACAGATCCCATTGTTGAGCCTAAGGCAGACACTGCACCCGGAGCAGGACTGAACACACACACCGGTGTCCACCATACACAAGAACTGATGGAGATGCAGCATATGA